CTTGAGCACGTTTTGAATGATGGATTTGCAGTTGGAGCATTGGAGCTTCAGGACAATCTTCTTTGTCGTCTTGGCCTTCTTGTGGAAAATGGGCTTCGTCTGACCGCCATAACCGGACTGTTTGCGGTCGTAACGCCGTTTGCCGCGCGCATAAAGACGTGCCTTGCCAGCCTTGTACTGCACAACCTTAAAGCTCTTATGCGCGTTGCAACGCGCGTCCGGGCAATGCATCGTCTTCTTCTTCGGGTAGTTCACCATCTTGGCTAACCCACGGGAACCAACGCACGAAAAAACAAAAACCAAACCAAAAAAAAAAAAAAAAAAAAAAAAAAAAAGAAAAAAAGGACATCAAAATCAAAATACCAGATCCACCTATCGACGTTGAGATAAATCACGGGGATGGCGTCTGTGCGGTCGCAATGATGGAAATGCGTGGCTTGCATCATGGGAAAAAAAAAATCAAGACAAAAATGAAAAACAACAAAAACAAAAAAGGATTCTTCGTTATTTCAAAAGCTACAACTATAATAATCGGTGCGGTATCGTTATTGCTACTAATTTATGTTGCCTTTGTTTCCGAGTTCGCACAGGTGAACCATTGGGAAAATAACAACAGAACCTCTTCTTATGACTTCAAAAGCGCGTTCACACGCAAGCACACACAAAAAAAAAAAAAAAAGAAAAAAAAGCAAATGACCTAACACACATAAAAATCAATAAAAGAAATGAAATTCATAAGGTATATGTTACGATAGCCGGACTCGTTTGGAATTGCCAAGGTGGCAGTCCTTGAAAGGGTCCTGCAACCACCGCCAGTCTCCCCTCCAGGTAGAGGACAGCAGCGGGGCGGGGCGGGTAGGACGACAGAAAAAAGAAAGAGCTTCGCTCGCCATCTTCCAACGCGGTATAATAATAATAATAATAATAATAATAATAATAATAATAATAATAATAAAGAAAAAAAAGAAAAGAAAAAAAAACACATATACACCCGCAAAAAAAACAAAAAAACAAACAAACAACAACAACAAAAAAACAAGCAATCAATAAAGGACCAAATTAGATAAGCAAGCCGGTCTCCATTTTAAACCCCATCTATGCACACGTTCCTTCCAAAAATTTCTAAAAAATCAATAAAGCAAAGAATACAACTATCAGCAATCGGTGTTCCTTCCAAGAAAAAAAAAAAAAAAAACAACAACACGGAAATAAGTGCTTTTTCATCCACACAAAATAATAGATGGGCATATCATTTCTCATCTTCATTTCTCCACGCACCACATTTTTTTTTTGCTTTTGCAAGCTCTTGCCTTTTATCCCTTAATAGGTGCAAAAAAGTTATTAGAATTCGCTTTTACCCTTATGCACAAAAAAAAAAGAAAAAAAAAAGACGACAAAACAAAAACAAAAACAAACAGGCAACAACAACAAAAAAAAAAAAAAAAAAAAAAAGGACGAAAACAAAATAAAAAGGGAAGATATATATATATATTAGAAAACAACAACAACAAAAAAAAAACGTTATTTCTTCTTTTTTTGTTTGGGAGGGGAAAAAAGGCTGCGCTAGAACTGCATCGTCGCAGGACATAAACAACCTCAAAAATCTGATATTTCAAGATACCTGTTTAAAAAAGCCTTTCCATGCATATTCTTCTTCTTCCTAAAACAACTCAATACACAATTTTCGACATTAATTAAGCTTTTTCGTTTTTTCCTTTTAAAGCTCTAAATGGAATATTTTTACAGGAGCATTGAATACCCATGATTCGAAAAAAAGAAGAGCCTTTGAGGGTCATTTGTCGGGGGAACAAAAACGCGGGGTGTCAACGTCGACTCAGGGGCACTTAACGGGGCGGTAATAAACGGAAAATAATTCTCTCTTTGTTGGTATGCCACGATGAATGGAAGAACAGGAGCTTGGGATATGAACTGAGCTGATGTATCACAAATTACTGGACTCACAGTCGTGGAATCCATAAAAACAGGAGAAGCAGGCTTTCCAGAAGCCGGTACTGGTGGTGCGCACGCCAAAGTGGAGTTAGGAGCCGTATTCCTCGGGCGAAGAATAATGGATTTCCTCCTTTCAGCATCCACGTCCTCAATCATCTTAGCCACAGCAAAAGGATGCGGCAAATAAGGAAATGGAAAAGGTGCTTTTCCATCAATGCCTTCCACGCATCGGCATGCATCAGAAATATGCACAAAATGCACAAACACCATGTTATAGGGTGACGGTCCCCCAAGCAAACACGATTGCGGGTGCAAAGACACATTTGTCACGGGCCCAAAATTCATTTCACAATAAGATTGAACTGTTTTCAGTGTAATATTTCCAGGAACATTACGTATGTAAACAATGTTTGTGATTACGTGGGCATTCACACATGAATCCAAGGTACTTCGCTCAGAAAGCCTTACTTGAAGCACGTTCCCATCCAAAACGACACGATTCATCATTTCACAGACCTTTTTCGCAACGTCGACGCTCTCAAACATAATAAAGGCAACACCGCGTGACATGCCCGTTGCGATATCCAGAAGAAGCTTGACATGAAGAACCTTTCCAGTAGGTGAAAAAAAATTCTTTAACTTCACACTATCTACAGAGGGCGGTATGTTAGCTACATAGACACTGCAGCAGCCAGACATTGCGTTCGAACTGTTTTCCCTTGAAGACTCCATCTGCAACCACTTAAAGGCTGAAATACAACCAAAACAAGAAGAAAACAAAAGTTAAAAGGAAATAACTCAGGAAAAAAAAAGAACTCTTGTTTGTGCGGAAGTAATTCGTGAATTAATAAATAAAATAAATAAATAAATAAACGAAAGAACGCTACTCAAACATTTTTTTTCAACACCTTGGTCTTGCGCCCTACGTTTACAAAAAAAAAAAAAAAAAAAAAAAAAAAAAAAGACATCTTCAACTTTTTTAGAAACAGACACTTTACCGTCTCTCAAGCGATACCTGTCAAAGTGTTCACACCGCGACGGATCAAACAGACTTCTGTCCACATACTTTGTCACGCGTTCGGTGGTTTCTCAAACAACTTGTAAGTCAAAAACAACGAAATTCAAAACCACACAAATATAAAGTATATTCTTCACACGAGTACCACCATCACCCTCACCTAAAGCCTCGTCATTTTCCCTCACTAGTGGAATCTTGGCCTGCATAGGCAATAATTTCTCCTTCACTTGTAAATAATTCTCTTCTTTGATCCTTTTCTGGTCCTCTTTTCCTCACTGAAAATCCGACCGTTGGACTAAAAGGATTAAGATAAAAAAGAAATCCTTTACCCATGCGTTCTTTTCACAGCTGAAATAAAATATTTAAATATTATTATTATTATTTGAATGCGTGATCACAAAATCCATTACAATTTTCATGTGAATTTACCCAAAACAAATCTGTTGGCCTTTTTTTCGTTACCCGGCAAATAGCTTTGCTTTGCTGCACTCCTATCAAGAAGCCGTGGAATATAAAGTAAAAAACGCATCAGGATGTAGTAAACTATTCTCTTGACGTTTTTTTGCAAAGGACCTTCTTGAAAGGATTCGGAGAAAATTACCCGCATAACATCGTACAAAATGGGATTCCTTTTCTATAATTCTCGTTTTTTTTTATTATTATTCACGATAGCACAGCAAATACACCATATGGCACAAACAGAACTCCAAAGTTAAAAAAAGCTCGGTTTTTCGCCATTAAAAAAGGCACGAGAAATATCAATATTTTTTTTCCCAATTAAATATAAAAAACATAATAATAATATTAATTTAGAGCCATAAAATGGAAAGTAAACAAATAAACCCACACAGCAAAATTGGCGTCAGTGTCACGTGTTCAAAGCATGTTTAGCAACTGTGTGACCATTTTAAAAGGCGCAATCTAACAAAGTCAAAAAGAAAAATAAATTGGACACTCTGTGCATCGCAACAAAAAAATCCCCTTTTTTTTTGTTTATCCAAAGAGAAAAAAGATAAAAAGGAAAATGCAATATATACACAATTTAAAAATAAAACAGGCGAATTCCTGCGAGTATTTCAATCCAAATACATAAAAACTATTCAGACAAATAAATCCTCACAAATAAGTTAGTAAATTGCAGAATACTCACCTGGGCCGCTGACCGCATCCTGAAGTTGTCAATAATATAAATCAAAAAAGATATGAATACGAAAAAATTAAATGGAATAAGGGTGGATTCAACAAATTTTCAATAAATGTTTACACCAAGTAAGTGTATATTTATATATGCATATTATAGTAGACACTATCGTCACGTAATCACTCTTTCGGGACTGAATATATAGAACTTACGAGGTGGCGAATTTTGGGCTCTTCCAGCCACACGACCCAGCCGCAGGGTGAGGATCACAAAGTGGGCGGGCGGAACGGCAAAAGCAAACACAATTAAAAATTGTCCGGACATCACTGGTTCCCTGCTTCCCAGAACCGCGGTTAATCGAAGACTCATAAAACAGGAAAAAAATTCGTACAGAGTTCGCTTTATCAGGATACATAATAAACTGGATAACCAGCTTTTCCAGTGAACATTCTCTTCACAATTTCATTTTAAAAAGAAAAAAAGAAAAACTGGAACAACTAAAAAATAAGACAAAGTCATCTTTAAAATGCTCTTTGATATATCTATTCATGCCCTGCATTCACACATGTGAGGCAAGGAAATATATATAATTGTTAAAAACGGATAATATCCCAAAAAACAAATGCAATAACATAAACTAGGAAATCATACGCAACTAGACACGATGTTATGGAGAAAATACTAAAAACCTAACGGGGAGAGAGAATTTATGGCAACCCAGACACAATTCCCTCCCGTTACAAAAGTCAAAGCAAAATGTTGGTTGGCAGATAGGATAAGGAAGTTAATCCTTCAGTAACGGCATTATTAATATTAATAATAATATTAAACGAGCCCGGCTGAAAATAAACAGAATGAATAATATATATCAACAAAAATTTGAGGACACAAAACATTCACCGGTTTTAATGAATATCCAATAAATAAAATAGATAAATAAACAAAACAAAAAATAAAATAACTAAAACCAAAAAATATAATATAATAATAATAATAATAATAAAGTAAACTCTCCCCCCCCCCCCCA